TGATATAGAGTTTGTAACCTTAGTAACGAGAGACAGTGCAACGAAGGGTTACGACAGCGAACTGTTTGAGAAAAGTGAGTCGATTGGTAGCCTTTCCCTTGTTTTTGATTTATAACGTTGATATTTGAGACTTTATAACCATTGTATTTAGACTTATAATAAGTTTATTAATTAGTGTGTTTTACTCTTTTTGATTTATACCTTTTCTTAGTATTGTATTTAACCCTATGACGATGAGTGGCTGACGGTATCTTTGATTTATGAACGTGTTATGCCAAGAGGCACAATCTCAGTTTGGGTGAAGGGATGTGTCATGAATTTGTTTTTGCGTATCTGTTGACCGACTTAATTAGTTGATTATTAGCGAATTGCTGTGTTATGTCTGTCATCGTTCAGGCCTATTTGAAGTTTTGGACGGAACTTGGCTCAGTGATTTGGAACTAATTACCAGATAACCGTCGCTATACTATTCATTCCGACAGTTTATATCCATAGTTATTAATGTAGTGAACGATTAATCAAAAAATATGACGTATTCAGTACTTAGTGTGATTGGCTTTATGATTGAAGGTTACGCCCTAGAGTCTTTTTACTGCTTTGTAATTGGTTAGAGTTTTGAAAATGAATAAAGAGAGTTTGAGTTGGTCTTGGGGAGCACAGCACGATAGACGCAGTAGAGAGAGTGCAGTCCTGGAGAGTCGAGTCGAGTCCTGGAGAGCCTTGGGGCGAGTGTTGACGCAGTCTAAGAGAGTCTTGGGGATTTTTCCCCAGGGTGCTGTGTCTTATAGAGTGCTCGACAGATCGACTAAGACGAGAGCTGAAACGTATTTCGTTGTGTGTGTCTTATTTGACTGTAAAGTATAAGTGACTTCCCCGATCCCGTACCTCAAGGGGACGAGATATAGAGACGAGACGAGTTTCCCCCCTGACAAGTGTAGAGAACCCGAGAGTACAAGAATTTACCCCTGATACATACATGTATACTATGTTCTATGGGTGAAGACTGCATTCCTGTTTAATCACAGGAAAACACAGAAAATGACAAATGTCAAGATGAAAATCAGAACAAATTAGAGCATTTGTTTTTACAAAGGAATGGGAGGGTACTGTGCAAAATTGTCCATATGGTATAAAATAAAACCATATACAGCAAATAAGAACAAATTATCGTCTTGCAATCAATTGGCGAATTTCAGTATCAGTTGTAAGTTGATCAGTGAATGGTAGTACCAGCCGTAAGCTGGATTTTTTCAAAGAACGATCCTGCATTTGGTTGTACGTGGTTAAACAACGTTTCTTTCCCTGTAATTTTTCTTGTAGATTTTGTTTTCAAAATGTTCTCTGTGGACATTCAATTTTTGAAATGTATCATATTCTATGACTTTATAATTATTATTCTTAGACATTATTTCCTTTCAAAGGCAGCTCCAAGTTGAACATACTCACTAGTAATTGAATGAGTTCAACTGGGCACTGGTCTCAGTATCGAGCAATCCAATCGTTAATCAGAACAAAATATTTACTCCAAGTAAAAGTTTTATTAAAAACAGGAGACATAAATGCAAAACCTGCCAACAAGTGAAAATAAATAATTGACTTTTATGTATGACCAACTTTGAATTGTTCAGGTGTACAGAGCAAACCTGGGTATGATATTTGTTTATACTATAGATTTGTTCTGATTTGTAGAAATCCACACAGCTCACCCATCTCATTAATGTTATATATATGGTAACTGTTAATACCGTCCGTTTAATCACTTATGATATGCCAGTCATGACCATGGAAATTCCCGCTTAATGAAAGCTTACGCAACAGTAAAGACAATTCGCTATTCTTAGTGATGAGGTTGTACGAAATATTTAATGTATACTGAGCACAAAAAAATAACACAGGATTGCCGATTTTAATCGCCCTCATCCGACGTCATTCTCTCAAGTCTAATACCGTGTTCACCTCAAACATATGTCATTTATTTCACAGAATGATCGTTTTGATTTGATGATACAGGCGAGTACAAAATACATAGGCTACACTGTGCCAAGTGACACATGGCTTGGCATTGTAGAATTTAGCACAGATGCCACCATTTTATCGTACCTTGTACAACTCAGTGACACAGATACTAGAAAACAATTAATTGATAAATTACCTACCGGCACTGGTGGATCCACCTGCATTGGTTGTGGTCTGAATTCTGGGATTGAAGTGAGTATATTTATTGCCTGCCTATTTACAGAATACTATATGATTTAATATATTTTTGCACATTTACCTTGTAGAATTTGTTCTTGTCTGAACTATGTATGTCCCCTACATTACAAGGTACTAGAACATGGTTGGGAAAGTCCATCTGGTGGAATTCTGTTTTTGATAACAGACGGTGACGAAAACGTCCGGCCATATATTGAAGACGTTATTGATGAACTGGTAGAAAAAGAAATCGTTGTTGATACTCTTGCGCTAAGTGACGAAGCAGATCCTGGTTTGGCTGAACTTTCAGAAGAGACCGGTGGTACGGCTTATTGGTATTCAGAAAGTGACAGTTCTACAGGTTTACATGATGCCTTTACCGACACTATAACTAGCCGTACGAGTAGCAGCACAAGTACCCCAGTACAGGTTAGTTAACGAAATCACGTATTTGAAGTACTGTTATCAAGATCATTGTGATGTTGTTGTTTGACATGACTAAACTTAAACGCGTGCATAAACAAAGAGCTTTGTTCTATTTCAGTTGTCCAGCTATAAGACGACAATCGCTGCCGCCGACACCCTGAGTGAATACGTCTACATCGACTCCACCATTGGCAGACACACAGTATTCTTTATATTCTGGGATTTCAGCAGTACCGAAGCAGTGCACGTTGTTATAAAATCACCTGATGGAAGTATCATTGAAGATGGAGACACTGGTAAATACCTTGAAGATTATAATACACGTACAATTACTGTCGCAATTGAAGGCCTTGCTCAGGTAAATCATTTTTTTTATAATATTTGTTGTCTTACAGTAGTGCCTTTTGTCAATATTTTAATTCAGATATTTATTATGTGGACAGCATTCATTCTTCAATTTGAATAACGTTGACACCAGATTATTAACCTTCCAGTCAGGTCAATGGTTCTATAACATTACAAATCCTGATAGTGTAGATCAAGTAGTAGAAGTGTCCATTGAATCTACATCTACAGACCCCGATGCTGATCCACTACGACTACAATCAACTGTTGGAAGTGAACTAATCACCGAGTCACCGCCTCAGGTAGCTATATACGCCACGGTTCACAGGGGTTATGAACAGATCCTTGGAGCGAATGTTATTGCTACTATAGAGAGACCGAGTCCTTATGATCCAATTGACTTGAGTTTATTGGACAATGGCGTAGGTAAGAATTTGAACGTGATTTATATAGGGTTCGACATTCCATGTCTGGGATACATCTATAAGTTAAACTATAATTTTCGAATGTTCCAATAAATTTAAACTGAATTGAATCTATTTTTTTTTGATCCAATAATCTATGAATTGGATGTAAAGTAACTACTAAATATTATTTAGTCTGCATAATTCTACACAGGTGCTGATATTACAGGCGATGACGGAACATATTCCGGTTATTTCCTGGATTTTGTTGATGCTCATTGTGAGCAAGCTTGTAGGTATGCTGTACAGGTGACAGCAGATGACGGACATGGCACTACCAATACAAGAACTTTAATTAGCACTGGAGCCATGCCAACGAACTATGGTAAGCTTTGTCAAGACATTATATGATCGTTACAAACTGCATTCACAGCCCAGATAATATCGTACTTTG